ACCATTTGAGGAAGACGTTTTTTCGGAAGGGTTACGTAGCGGTGACGAAGCGCTATCTCCTACATAGGGGCGCGCGTTATCTGTAACGCTTTGTGAACTGTCAGTTCCTTTCCGACTTCTACGCAGTTGTGGCATCTCTAGTAACCCAAATCGCGCTATGCCTTCGCCACTTTTGCAAACTCCAGCTATGGAAACCCATTCCACTGATGTTGTCCATTCCTGTATACGGCTTACGAGGTCGAGTCCGTTGGCTGCTCTTTCTCTACGCTCTCCAACTTTTTCAACAGCGGATCTTCGACGAGCTCATACACCGTTAGCTCGAACTACCTCGGCCTCCTTACCCGGCAAAGTGAAACCCAGACTAGGAAGAATGAAATCAATCCGAGATTCACCTTGCTTCATAGCCAGACCAACACATTTGGAACTGCCGCTTAGTGACGATGAGTCACCTCTAGGCACCATTGCCGAAGATACGAGATTTTACGAAGATTCCGACGACGACCTTGTGAAGAGGTTCGTTACTTACTGTCACCTTTTCTATCTTCCCCTATCAAGTTTTCCACTGAGTTCTCCACTCTCTTTCATCATCCTCCTCTTTTCCTTAACAGTGATGCCACACTCCAAAAATTTGCCAGAATCTGTCATTTTTTTTTATCTCATCTTATCAAACTTCAATATAAGACCCAAATAGCAGCATTTTCCCAGGAAAACAAAAAAATCTTGCTTATTGGGCTTACATTCCACGTGCAAAACATGAGTGTTGTCGCCAAGTGGAAAAAGCTTTCAGAAAAGATAACCGTATGTGCATATTCTCGATCGAGACGCGATACCCAATAGATGGGCAAGCATGCCAAGCACCATTTCAAAAATACATTCGGTACAGACCGATTAGATCAGGTGCACAGTGCAAGTACAAAGGTTAACGCTTTTTAATGCTCAATAATTCAAAGAGCAGCTTTTTTTGAGCACTTAGCTTTCACTACTGTTTGACTTGTCAGCCTCTCTGCGGAGCTCCTTTCATATATATGAACTTAACACTGTATTCAGAAAAGTGTTCTTCTCTTTTCGTTGCCGGATTCCAACCTGTACTCATAATTTCGTATGTTAATGCTCAAATGCTTGCTCAAATATGAGTAGACCAAATTAAAAGCTTAATCTACACATTTGTTTCTTTATTAAGGCTTTATTATTGTAGATTTTGTGTCTTGGTAGAGATTTAAGTTGAAGTCACTTAGTAAAATAGAGAAGAGCGAACGCTGTACTTACCCTCTCCTTCCTTCTCGCTTCCTCTCGCCCCTCACCTTTTTTTGCTTGCTTTAAGAGTGATTCAAGCTATAAAGCGGCCTGAGTTATTCCTTTTTCTGTTGACAAAGATCCTCAGGACTTGGGAACAATAAACTAATCGGAATAAAAGGACTTTTTCAGCTCCTTCCGCAAGAAAAAATTTCTTCTTGTTTGGCTTATAATTACTTATAGCTATGCAAATAAACGTCTTGTACCAGTCCTAATTATCTCTATTATAATTCAATCCGCTTAGGAATTTAATAAGACAGCGCTGTGAATAAAAAAGTGGGTATTAGACA